AAATTTAATAAAAACTTGTGATAATACACGTTTATACGCTACATGTAGTTTGACAAAATGGATTTCGGTATGCATTCCTTTAAATTTCAAAATAAATTCTATACTAATTGAAAACACAAGCATAACATAACGATTATAAGCTACGTAATTAGAATCTTACGTTTTGGTTTAAAATAATAGATATAATTTTAAAATAGTACGTTACGCGAACATTTGCTGTTAATGGCATTATAATGTATCATTTAATCACTTTAATATATAATTTAGATTTAACGTAATAAATTGTCCAGAAATCCTAGTTTCAGTTCATGACCTTTTATAACTATTATGTTCTCTATAGTCTCCAATTAAGTAATACATTATCTTCTTAATATCTAGAACTTGAGAACATGCATACACATTGCAACTAATTGCAACATACAAATTACTTATTAATTAAATCTCTTTTCCTCGTTAAAAAAAAAAATAAAAGTTATTATTCTTTGATTAATAAGTTACTCTTATAAAAAAAAATTAGTAAGCTTGAGTGGATTGGAGACAATGGGTATTATTTAGTTACATTTTTAAAGTCTATATTATCATAATTTCTTGATACAGGTACGTTAAACAAGATTTCTGGGATAATATTTCTGATTGGCTTTCGAACAAAACATTTTACTGCCTGTTCGTGATTTCTTATCCACTTCTTCCTTTAATAAGAATAATCTTCAGATTTGTTTGCATTGTATTTTTTAATGAACTGTATTTATTTGACCAATCGTAATTGGTATATAAATATTTTTAACTAGAATTAACGATAGTATTAGTATGGAAGTTTATTTTTGTGCGGCTTATTAAAATAAACGGCTGTTTTTTTTCAATTTTCATACATACCTACGTGAATTAAAATTGTTATTCTCGCACACGTAGTAATAGGATAGAACCGATTTTCTTATCTGAATTCTGTAACTGGTCTTTTAATACTATGTGTTATATAACATGAAAGGAATAGGTGGTATCAATAGAGCAACAATAGTAATACGATGCTTATAATGCAACAGTGGAGAAGAGGAAAGGGTGGTATAACAAACTTTCGACTTCGGGTTGTGGAAAACCGTGAGTGTTTGGTGACATGATAAACGACCCGGCTTTTGTGGCGAATTTTTCCGGCTGCTAAGACGTTCATCCAGCGAAAGAGACCATAGGAGAGAGTGATGGTGCGGAGAGAGGAGTTGTCCAAAAAGTTTTGTCACCTTTTGTCAAAACAGCGTACTTGCGGACAATAGAGGTCTAAGGTACATAAAATCTGAATAGAAAACAGAAAAGGATGCCTTGGTGACGACTATTTATCAAAAATATAAATAAATAAATAAAATGCCGTAGGTTACACTGTACAAAACGTATTAAATCGACAAGATTTTTTTTTCATGAGTCCCTCTGCTTTACGGATTCATCTCGTGAAATGTATACGAATATGTATATAAAATGATAATAATAATAATAATAAAACAGTTTCAAATGTAAAAACCGTGTGATCGGAACTACCGCCGAAAAACCGCCTTTTATATAAAAGCCGGTACCTGTTGTTTGTACTGATAGAAAGTACACTCTAGGGAGGAATATTTTCCCTAATAACTTTTGGGGTGAACGCGTAACGTTTTGGTGAAACGAGAAGGTAGAAGAGGAAGGTACGTGCCAGAGATGAATGATGTCGCTCCCTTTTATTATGTTCTGATAAAAAATAATAATAATAAAAAGTTTGTTTATTTATTTTTATTTTATTTTTTTCGAAACGACGATGATGGAAAACCGCAAAGCAATTTTTACCGTAGCTTCCGTTTACGATCACGAGCGATCCATGATTGGTGGATGAGGGGGTCGCAGTGAAAGGATTTTATATTTTGCTGCAACTACGCGATGCTTTTAGCGCGTTAAACAAACACGATCTGAAGATTGGGTATCCCGATTAATGCGTCATCGGATATGGGGCCTTCCTTTTGTTGCATGTACATACCTTGTGTTATTTTCACGGAATCAAATATAACGTGTGCAACAAAACAAATGAACTTTATATAAAATTGAAACTTTTGATTATTACCTGTTTTTATTTATACACGTATGAACTGGATTCTATAATACTGCGCCACTATTGCATTATAATATCTACTCCGTGAAGGAGGGTTTGTTAACGGATTGTAGAGATTGTACCGTTTTTTCCTATTTCTTTTCATAAATTAAAAACGCTCGCTTATAAGCTATGCTCGCATTTGTTAACCGTGATGTATGTGCGTATGGCATTTACAAATACAAATTTGAATTCCTTTAAAATATTGAAAATTTAAGAATGGATATAAAGGAACCCATTATTATATGTAAGAAAAATACGACCTTCCGCGTGTACATTCTATTCAATTTTGTATTTAAAATATTGTTATTATAAACGTTATTTATTTCTCTAACTATTTTGTTTGGGTATCAGATCTTTTTTTTTTATATTTTTTTTCGCACTCAAACAGAAAGAAAAATGCCGTTGCCTTAAGGCTATAACGAAAATATATAATGATCGTATTAGTGCAATATTTGATGGATTTTAATACTAGTGTACTCGTATTGTGGAAAATTTTGTTTTAAACTACATTTGAAGTGTTTTATATTTATATTTAATAAGGGTACGATTGTATTAGAGTATAGATATTTTTTTTGTTTTTTTTTTTTTTATGATTATTTTAACCTATTGTAATCGCATTTTAAGATCGTCATTTTATTTCGATCTTCACTCTTGGGTCCAGGTGTATGTATTTTCATGGAAACAAATAAATTAAAGTAAATAATCCCGTCCACTTGATTAGAACACTAAATTATTTTATCATTCTGTTACTCAATTTTAACAAGCTATTTGAATTGCCTTTCTCCTTGACACGGAAATCTGGTGTCCGTAGTATATTTAACTTACTACCGACTGTTTTATGGTCACCGACTTCAATGTAATTCAATAACGAGGTCTCGCCACAATATTGTCCGTCTGCCCCAGCGCAAAATATATCAAACGATATTCCAGCTCTTTCGTACCTTTTGCCTCTCATCTACCATGGCGGCAATTGTTAATAATAATAAACCAAGTTGTCTGGAAAACGGGGGGAGGTTCGAATTCACGTCCTAGAAATCCCATTGCGTGTTCGATACTGTATATTTGTATCGATTTTTAAAATACACTTGTATATAATAATGTTATATCTTGGTATGCACCCAAGGGATTCATATTATAAACAGAAGGTTAAAAATTATTCCTGTCGAATTAGCATTTTATTGTTAACGCTGCAGAAGCGATTCTAATGAATCGATGGCGTTTTTCCCGGAGTTTTTTTATTTCATTTTATAATTTTTGCCATTTTTAACTCGTTGTTTGGTCAACTAACTTCAAACAATGTTTATAAAACTCCATAAGTCTCGCAAAAATCCCATTGGTTTCAACTTTTTAATTAGGCACGTTTTTAAAATCAAATCGCTCTGTTACTGCTACTAATACTTTTTTTTATTTCTTATCGTCGGACTCAGAGGATGGGACCGTCTTTACTTTGCTCTCTCGTCGAGCCGCCATAATTTATTTGTCAATATAAAGATTGTCTTCTTGTATGGTATTTAGTTTCCTAAACATTTAATTGAATGTAATTACAACAGTACATAGTTTATCATGCCTATACACGTACGTATTCTTCAGAACCCTAATTTTAACAAAGTTACATGACTGTAAATCGCACTTGGTTTTGATTGTATGATTTTAATGTATTCTCAGACTAGCCATTTTTCGTCCGCCTCATTGGAACTCTCGTTCTATCACCTCAGTCGCTCTTCTTCCTCTTTGGTGTCCAGAATTAGTGTCTCGTACCGTTACACAACTTTCCAGTTCGTATTGTTACGTACCATGATTGTTATTATTGTTTCTGGAGTAACATTTTGTTCTACCATGGCTTCTAGTTCTGCTAACTTTAAGAAGTTAACAAGTTTTATGCTAACGCCCATCCACCACATCAGAAGAACGTGTGTTTTGCATCATCCATCACGTAACCACAAGATTAACATTCTGGGATTTCTACACGCGCAAATATAGTAGGCCTGGAGCAGCCATGTCTTGTCAGAAATTGTGTCAGGTTCTCTCCGTCTTTCCGTGCTGTCAATTAACCCAATCGCGGACAACGGGTATAAGTATTTTCGTTCATATCTTATTTATCGGGTCGTCTTTCCATTCTTGTTGCCACCAACTTCAAGTATTTTCATCGACTGTGTGTCTTACACACTCATCTACCCATATTAGTTCACACCGACTTCTCGTCATCAAGTGTACCAGTACAATGTTGGCCACTACTAGATTCGACATCGTCGTAACTGTTCTATATGCTCTAGCAACTTTCAGGAACTATTACACTTTCTGGACTTAATAATATTTACCTATGTTTATGGAAAACCATTAAAAAATTTTACACTGAGGTCGCATATAAAAATTTATCATTTATGACAGACGCACGGAGTTTCCTTTTTTATTGGTCTAGGACCTTTAAAATTAAACATCAAGCGAGAGAAAGAGAGCAACCGTTGTTTTCAAAGCTATTGCTATATTTTTGTGTTCCTAGAATTCAATTGTTGAACTAAGTTTGACTTCCAAATATTGCTTGTGTCCTTTCAGTTTCAAAGTTTTGTCCTGGAGCACAAACTACTGATGACTATACTATCACTTAGTTATTATTATAATAGACGGGGTCTTAATTTCTGATATGGCCAGTCCCTTTTTAATCATCCAATTACTAATTTGGTCTAATGTTGTGTTCATCGCGTCCTCCAATGTCTCTGTACTTCGACCGGTCGCTACTGTAGCTACACTACTATTACTATTACTACTTATCTATAAAATTACCTTTTTAATTAAAAACACATTACATTTATTTTTATACCTATGTATTATAAATATTCATATTCATGTTTAGTCGCTTTTACTAATTTTTTAACATTTTTTATGTTTGTTTAAGGCCTTTTTGGAGATGGCAGACGAAACCTCTGCATCTGCTATGGTCACATACTTCACGACTTGTACGGCTCAACTAAGGGGCCGTGCTGTGTTTATACAGTTCAGCAATCACAAGGAACTAAAAACCGACCAAACACACAGTAATGCTGTAAGTCTTTTAAGTTGTTTATAAACTTTTGTTATTTGAAAATAATAAAGATTTTGAAATTGCGTACTTTGATTTTTAAATCAAAACGACATGTTGCTTGTTGTACCGTAAAAATTATATATTTTTACCGTATTAAAGGAGAAGAATTTGAGTTTTAAAAATGAAATTCACTTAAATACCATTTTAAATTCAAATTATTCTAAAACATATTTTATTTTGAATAGGTAAGATATTTTTAGTACTTGCAATTTCTTCGCCATTTCGAAGAATTATTATTATCTTTTACTTTTACAGTAACCATAGTAATAATAATAAAAAATAATTAATTGATATTTTTCATTGATCAAATTCAATTTCCACCAAATATTCCACAGTATTTCAGTACATTTTCTATGGATGAATGAATAAAAAAAAAGAAAAAAAAAGAGAAAGGTGAGGTATGCAAAGAAATAAAAACCGATTAAAATGTTTTAAATATTTTTTTTTCTTTTATTAATATATTTATGAAAGTTTGGTTGTTGTAAAGATTAAAAGATTATATTTAATTAGAACTTCTACTTTCAATCAGTGTCAATATACATTGTGTACCCGTCAATATTTACTATTGTCGCACGTATACATATTACTATATTAATTATAAAGATACAAGTAAAAAATCTCTATAAAAAAATATTAAAATGAGTTAACACAATATTCTCGTATCTGTATATAAATTGTATGTATCAATGATTTAATACGTTCCATACGGAACAACAGAATTAGATGATAAATTTATTAATTTAAGTTATTTTATATTTTCTCTGTATATTGTCCATTAAAAAATAACATTTACATTTTAAGTTCAAACATGTATTACTTTCGAAAAGATTATACTTTTATGTTACTTTTCAGTTTCCAACACCTGGGAGTAAATGTTGACAATATAATAAATGTTTTCATCTACAACAATATACCCAAAGCCTTAGTCATTTACTTGGACTTTTAATATAATTTAATATGTGTACATTTATTTTTTATGTTTCAAGTTTTCTCGGTATAGTAATATAATTTAATATTTTTTAAAGAATTCGAATGTATACTTGAAACTAATGACAATTAATAACTTACAACAATAATAGTAGTAGGTTATGTTATAATGCGATTATTTACGTTTTACGATACTAACATGGAATCGTTATTTTTTGTGTCTCATTAGACATTGATTATTTTAATATTTTTATATATTAATTTATTTATTTTAGTTACTGAGGTAACATTCTTATAGTTTAATTATCAGGCGACACCCGTTTGCGTACGTCTATTTTTGAGGCTCATTTTCAACAACTCAATTGTGTGTACAACTCAATTGCGCACACGAATTTTAATACCTGCGATAAATGATCCAAACGTAGGACTTCTTTGCGTAAACAAACTATAGCAAAAGTTTTTACATTGTACATTTATTACTAGTAAATCTAAACAATAGATCACCCGATTTTAAAACACTATATTTATAGTTTTCAATATAAAACCGCGTTTTATTCTGCGCGTTTCAAAAACATTTGATATTTGAATATCTATGATACTACACGAAATAAAATGTCTAAAGCACTGACAACTCGTGTCTCGATAGCATCTCACGTTTAACTAACCAATAGGCATGTAGTAATATGATAACTCAAAACTTAGTACAAAATATTTACATATCAGATAATTAAAAACTTTTAAGATTACGTGTATCTTATCGAAATAATGTTAGTAAATCGTATTATTATTAGGCACTCATTAAGTTACAATAAAAGTCTATATTGGAAATGAGATTTAATAGTTTACGGAAACGAGTCGTAATTTTTAAGGCCAAAATTTGTATTATCTAGTTTTTATGTTTTAATCGTACGTTATACGCAATCGAATTGTAAGTTTTTGTTTGAGAATTGCCGTATAATTATTTTCATTTAATATACTTTATTTCCTATTTTAATTAAATAAAAATTTTCATGAATATACATACTATGTATATCTATGGTTATCAAGATATAAATTGCTATTTTTTTTCGGTTAGTTGGTGTGGAGATGAAAACATAATCTGTCCGTGGACAGAGTCTAAATCCACGTGAAAAGTAATAATAACCCATTAAAATATGATAAATAAATAATATAGGAGATTATGAACAGCCGTTCGGAGGAAACATTACATAGAATCGTTCAAGAACCTAAACAGCAACAGCAAGGGGGTTGAAAGGGTTAGGTTGAAACAAGGGTTGAAGCAGCTCACTAAAACTTTTAACTAGCTTATTACAAATTAAAACCGTTTTTTAACTCATTTCTATGTATTATAATTTACACACACAAAAATATATATATATATAAATACAACATATTTAGTATAGTTGTCAAATTATCTTAAAAGTCTTCTGATAAAGTAAAATGGTAATTTCTGGAATAAAAATTAAATAGGAAATTTTCTATTTTTTCACAGGAGATGCTCTATTTTTAGGAAAGAGAACACATTTCTTCTTAAAAATAATAATCCGATATAGATAGTGTGGCTCCACTAAAAGGCATGAAAAAAAAATTATGTCTTGTTAACATAATTTATAACCCCAACTACTTTCGACTATTCCTTGATTTTGTATTTACTCCGTCGAACAATGCACCTCGGTTTGATATAATTAAACGTTTCTTCTTCCTCTGCTTAGTCACACATTTATAACGATAGCAGTCATTATAATAATCATAGCAATACTAAAAAAAATCTTAACCACGTGGTGACGATTGATGTATGAATTTACGGCAAATTACGATATTTTTAAGCTTATTGTAAATTAACCAAAACCGACGACTATAACATTTGTGTTTTTAATTATACCGCTATGTTCGAGGAGTGATTTCAAACGACGCAAACTTCATCTCTGTGGAACGTCATATAATAACCCAAACGACAATGGATCGTAGTATTACGGGGAGGATCTTAAACAAAATGCTATTTCGAGTGCGCGTTCATTTCACCGTCGTCTACCTTTGTATTCATCTGCATGAGATTTTAATGAAAAGAATAATAGTAAGGTAACCCGAAACAAAATAAATAAACGCGACAAGCCTATCCATATATGAATTTATGAATGAAAAAAAAATTTAATTTTCATAAAATTTACTAACATAAAAATATTAAACTAGAACGTATATTATTTTGTCCGTTGTCTTTCCTTTCTTGCTATTTTATTTATACGCTACTTTGCTCCGTCATAAATAATTGTAGTTGTAACGGTGAAGTACAATATTCAACAATCAGACGGCTACTAGGTATTTTTTAAACCATATAACAGTTACGGATAGTTGCTAATAGAATCATGAACTCTCGGTTTTTTTTTTTATATTTTCTTACGTCCTGGATTAGACTTAAATTAAATATAATTAAAGGGTAAACTACCCTGACAAATTTGATTGTGTCAATTTAACGCTTTACAATAAGATTACTATAAACATAGTAAATTAACTATATTCTCTATAGAGTTAGCCATTTATCTTATTTCCCTATTATGAGTCTTGAGTCTCCGTTATTAAATCAATAATTTACGCACAAGTCATAGTTCATATAATTATATTTATTTTTTTTATTATTAATATATATATTCTAAAAATATAATTTCTATTGATACCGTGACTTGATTGGAGTTTACAAGATTTGAAATTGACAATACTCGGATCAAAATATTAATTTTATATTTGTAATAGTTAATATAACAATAAACGTTCTTTAAACCGGATTCGGATGTCAACGCTCATGTTTCGATCAAATAAAAACATAAAACTTTTAGAATGACTATGATGATGCGTGTATTTTAATGATAAACGTTTGCTTTTAGTGACATAATAATAACTTTTACTGAAATAAAATGTCCACCGGAAATTATCCATTTAAGCACCGTCGTATCATTCCGGAGATTGTACAATTTTCGACATACAAATTCCAATTCGAAATCCAATAACCGCGTTTATGGACAACCGTAAAATTATTACCTCTCTTTACATTGTGTATCATAAAACTGTGATAAATCCCTTGAACCGCATAATGGCTGATGGACATAACGCGCTCAGCGAATAAATGTTTATTTAATAGTGCCACTTCTCTTTAGGAAGTTTTAACTACTTTATGTTCCAAGTCCTAGACGTAATGGCATTGTTTTAATACTGATGGTGTCTCTCTAATGTTTTAAATTGTATTTAATAATCCCTTTATATATTATGTCCTCCTGCGTTGCGTGATCAGACCAGGCAATACCACACTACTATATAACACCATATGGTTGATTGTTTGATCAACGCCGTGAGGTGACTGTCATGTCACAACCCAGTACGTAGAAAAGAAGAGATTCTTGAGAAAATTAGAAGAGAAAAAGTTGCAAAGTAAGGGAGAAAAAAAGGATCTTCGCGTATCTCTTTGTTTTCGGTTGATGGATTAGAATAAGAAACATTGGTGACAACTCCATTCCAGAGCCATTGATCTTTTTTGTTTTCTCACCCGGGTTGTTGTGTTGTTATTGTTGTTGTGTTAGAATTAATCTGGTGAAAAAGATAAAAAAAAAAGAAAGAAAAAGTGCTACAAGACAATATTTGGTGTAAAGGGACGGAAGCCGGATTCCGAACAGATTCAGAAAGGGATACCTGTCAGAGAAGTTTACAGACAATCGATAAACACATTAGGGCCTTGAAAGTTTTAAAACCTCAGATATCGAACCCGGATGAAAAATGGCGACCGGAGGTGAACAAAAGGATTGTGTATCTCAGACTATAAACGTCAATTGTACATTTTTAAATATTTCATCAAAAATACCCTTACCAGACCGAACTAATTTGAGATACCTATAAATATGATCGTGTGACGATGTGTATATAATTTTGTTTTTACATCATGCAACTGACATGAATCACCATATGTTAGTGATATCCGTCATAGTATACTAAATCGTCCTTGCGTATATGTGTGATGATACGAGTGCTTTCAAAAAGGGATTCGACGAGAACGTCGTTTGGATTAATAGTGACGTACCCGAACGGACAAGTTGAGTAATTACACCCGAGGACCGACGGACGTTCGGTCGCACGAATAAGGACTCGCTTTTACAAATCCCCCATGTCCAGGAGACACGGGAGAGCTAACTAATGGTTTGATCCCTTCGTCCATCCCTCACTTGCTTCACCACTACTTCAGTCTCGTGAGTTCCGAATAAAACCCGACGTTTACAAGTGGCCATTTATAAACGTCCTGGGTATACACTAATACTAAAACACGTTTGTTATGAGGTTTTTTCTTCTTCGAATTTCTACCTTTCTCTCTTACTGTGTCACACATTGTTGTGATCGCCCACCCATGCTCTCCCCAACTGTGACGGTTATAAGTCTGAAAATAAGGCGTGTGTGTTAAATTCCTCTTCCTTCCGGCGTGCATATTTGGCGATGATTGCATGTTAGTGTAATTTGTGAAATTGTATGTATACTGTTACTGTAGTGCAGGAACTATTACGTAGTACGGATAATGTAAAAGCTGGGACTTACTCGTGTTTACAAACTATTTTGACGCCGATAAAATATTATCTTCGTTGCCTGTCCGATTCGTCGTTAGCTTCGCGTAGAATTCTCCGCATCGCCACTATATACATGTGTGTTTCTCTATCTATACCGATCCACGGGGTTTTCGTTTATTAATGGACAGTCTAGATATATTAATAACTCTTCTTCCCCCCCCCCTTTTCTCGCTTTATACCTACTCGTATTTAATTCGCGTGGAAAGCAAAACTGCAACCTTTCATCGTCCATATTTCTCCCCTACACCATTTATTATATCGATTTTAATTCATTTTCCAGAACGCATCGGCTCAAGCTGCTCTACAAGCGGCCCAAGCACTGGCCGGCCAGAGTGATGTACAAGGTGGTCCGAACACAGTGCTTCGAGTAATCGTCGAACACATGGTATTCCCGATCAGTCTTGACGTCCTTTACGAGGTAAGTTTGAGTTATGTTTACATTTCGGCGATTCAACGTTTGCAAATGAATCCGCATTTAATTATAGCTTATATATATTATATAAATATAATTTCTTAGAAGAACTGGAGTTAACGAAAAAGTATCTGTAGACTGTTTAATGTCGACCAGGATTCTGTTTTCGTAGCTTTTTAATATTTTAATGTAATATGCAATTCTTCAGCTGCTGGTTTAGATCAAATACACACGACAATCGCAAATAAAAAAAATACTTCATCCAAATGGTTTTTAATTAAGTTAAAACGTCTTTTGATGTTTAATTAAATTTTACTTTGAATTCCGATAAATTATCGGGCTGTAACTTTTTCAATTGTCTTATTTTATACCTTCGTTTTGAAAACAATCGATTTGCATCGTGTATAGGTATTGTCTTCGTTATCAGAAATACCTCCAACAACCTATCTGACAAAATGTCAAACGTGTTTATATTGTTGGGTTTCATTATTCGACGCCTATGCAAAACGTATTTGGTGGATAACTACATTTCTCATGTATTCTTTCACATTGCATTCGTAATTGAATCGTACACAGAACGCATATCACAAATTCCCCGTGGTGGTTTTCTTCTCATTACTTTATTTTCGTTGCTTCCGTGTGTTTGAAAATAACTTTTCCCTACATTTTAAATAAAATAACAATCACCGAGGATGAAAAGTTGAAATTTCTATACAAACATTTTATTGTATTAACCATGTGAAATGATTGGTAAGTAAATTTCTCTATGATCCAAACTTAAATCAAATACTTTCATCAAACCCAAATAATGAAAAGTTGTCAGTGAACTATTGTTAATCGACGACAAAAAAAAATTAAAATACGCACCGGTTGATGAAACGTGGATAAAATGTCTGACTGTGAAGGTTAAAGAAACAGATTAGTACCTATTTTTAGTATGTAATAAATTGTTTTTGTAAATAATACAATACGGTTAACTTTACACGTTAATGCGTCGTATTATTGCGACTTGCCAATGTAGTAGCGATACAGTTAACGATATCGTTCAAGTCGGTTGTTAAGTACTAATCGTACTTGATCCGGAAAAATCGTTTCGTTGTGCGTCAAATAATGTCGCGTTACTCGTCGCTATCGACCAGCTTTTTTTTTTTTTTTTCATCGGCCGTAGGTAGCGTTACGGGAGCATGCCATGATTGTATAGATACGTTGTTCCGTTGAAATAAGCCGTTTGTCGTGTGCGAAACGCGTGTCTAGACTTGGATTGCGTCTATTTAGATGACCCCGGCGTACAAAGCACGTAATATACGGCGCGTACTTTCTACGCTTTTTTATTCGTACCGTCGTTCGGCCTCGACAATATTCGAAACATTCTGTCGCGTCTCTCTCCCCCTTCCCCGTCACACCATCGACTCCCTCAGCGGTCGGTTTCGACACCGTTATTCACCCGTCACGACGACGACGGCCACGAGCGTCAACGAAACGAAACGCTTCGCAACTGGTCGCGTCCCGCCCCTCCGGCGCAAGCGGTGTAGAGGGACGCGCACTGGTGTTTAGCAAATTATTAACCGCAAGCGCCGCAGCAGTCGCCGCCAATGAAGCTTTATCGCACTCGTTGTCGCTGCCGTTATTGTTGCCGTTGCAGTTTACCTTACCGCGATCCGAAACATTTCGACGCGTATTCGTGTGCGCGTGCGGGCCCGCTCAGGTTTACAATCTCGACGCGATCATAATAAAAACGAAAGCGCCCTCCCGGTAACCGTCGAACGGGGTACACGGCCGTTCGTCCGCGCCACGTAAAATTAATTACGTTTCCGCATTAAACCTTCCCGTAGTATCTACTTGCTGCTGCTCATGTAGGTTCGGTGCTGGGTGGTGTTGTATAAGGGCGACGGTGATGTCGTCGTGCTCGTTATGAACGGACGACCTGGTCAACTTCTCACACCCCCCCCCCCCCATCTGTATCTGCTGATCGCTCCGCGTCAAGTATTCTTACATACCTGAGAATAAGTGTCCGTTTCCGTCATCCTCTCTCCATACCCCATCAAGACTATTTCCTCCCTCCCTTACTTGAACCTGAGACGGATCAACCGTGCTCGACGAAAATTTTCTACCTCTATTCATAAATAACTAAATTTTTCATCTTCATAAAATATGGCGTATTAAATAATACTACTTTACTACTCTCGAATTTTTCTTCCTCTATAAACAACATTTTTCGTTATTGGAATGATAATAATTTGAGCGAAGTTGGCTTTTAGAAAAAAAAGTACATAATAATTCACGCTCCCATCCTTCTGCCGTCGATTCTTATACAACGTCAAGTCAAAAGTTTACGTATTACAACAGGTTTTTCCGTGAAAAAGTCATGTTTCATATCCAATTAAAAATAATTAAAGTAAACATTTACACAGCGTTGTTGCGACGAAAAAGTTACTAACATTTGTTATTATTATTATTATTATTATTATAATTGTTATTATTTTTACATTTTTCTTGTTTAATATAAATTGTAGTTAGTGGATACTGTTTTTTTTTTCATACTTGGCATAAACTTAAAGGCTAGACCCTTATAATTTTCCAAAATAAAATCCAATAAATTATGGCGTACATTTGATGAGCACGAATAAAACGTTGTATGCTGTTACTCATATTAAAATTAAACGTATATAAATGTTGTTCCATGTATCAGTCTGTTACGCGAGCAAACGACGTTACATTTTTAACGTTGATAAAAATAATTTCGAAAATTAAATTTAATGTTTATCATAAAAATTTTAATTTCTTACTCTCGCATCGCGCACATCGATCGCCTATACTCGTGCAGATGAAGTACAATAGTTGCATGCACAGAGTTGTGCATATTCCCTATCCGCTACCCCTACCAGACGATAACGTCTGTTTTCACTACCTATTAATATCCTATGCGATTTTTCCACAATACAAGTACAATGAAAATTTAAATTGTAATAAAAACTTATGACGACGATGGGGGACCCTTGCAATACGTCCCGCCATCCGTCCTTCGAACTGTGGAAATATTCTCGTTTGTATATCTTCCTTTCAATAACATTTTGCGGTGTTCAGTAGTTTTTGGCGTTCACGACATACCCGATCTTCGTAATATTCGTTTGATTTAAAAAACGTATAGCGAATTGAATTATTATTTTAATCCGCTGATTTCAATCCAATCCGTGTGGATCATATCAAGGAATATTTAATTTATTAAATTTTGAAGGATGCGATGGAGACTATATTTTAATTGCTTAAAACAACGCTGTTGACGTGGTTTGGTCCGCCCGTCCGGTGATTCCGAGCTGTTCGCGAAAACTTGGTACGGTAACGAAAAGTTTTCATAAACAAACAAGAACATTATTTCCCCCATAGTAAAGGCGCGTCTCACCGTCACCGCCAGTAAATCGTGAAATGTCTCTGCGCTGTCATTCTTCCATTTCTACTCTGCGTATCCCTCTATCTTCGTCTATCTATCTCTCGTCCCTCCGTCATTCTGTCACGGTCTTTCTCTCCAATCAATGAGATAACGTCGCAACGACAGAATTATATAGATTCTAATTGACTATACGGTGGCAAAACTCTGAACTAAGTTCCGATTAAATACATAAATATATAATAACGTTTTGTCTGAGAGAATATGTATTTATTATGTTACTTCGGTATATTTATATTAAATATCAGTGTTAGGTTTCAAGGGTTCATGCTGCGCTAAAAAAAAAAAATCTTAAAAAACGCCCTAGTTATAACACGGTAAAACCAATCTTCCTCCCTCCTTTAAAAAATGCGAAAAAAATGCTTTCGCATTGTTCACCTACCAATCGCTTGCTGTAGTTTCCGTAGTTCAGTGTTCTTTTTACGGTGACGAAATTGCTTTCAGTATTGATTCGTGTCAACAACGTGTACGTATAACGCATGTGTTCATGAAAATATAATACACGTCTGTTCATACGATTTTGATACTGTTGTTGGATCAAACGCGATAGTAAATAAATTCTAATTTTTAATTCCGCGAATTTCGTTTACGAAAACCTATGGCACGGTACAACTATAGTGTAGTGCACCACAAAACTGCAACAATTCGTTATTCGCTTTCGATAAACAAAATTATTGTTTTTGACATATTGTTTGACTCGTTTCAATTACTGACGGAGGTCTCTCTTGCCTGCAACCGTCCCTATACATATATTTATAATTACTACCGTTAGTGCGTATTTGTTAATAGTATACGTCGTGCACACACGTGTTCACACACACACACACACACATACATATGCACACGTGCTCGCTCAAACAGGCCCATTTCGAGACTAATTACTCGCCATTACAATCATTATTATTATTACTATTATTATTATAATTATTATTTTCGTGCAAGTATGTATGGCGGAGAAAACATTTAATTTCCGTTAAAATATTTGCATATTATTATCATGAATTATTTTATTCCGATTCAATACGATTATGAATATTCACCCGTTCTTGCCATGAAATAATTTAATAAACTTTCTTGTGCCGTACTTCTGTACGAGATATTGAAACTTAAAATACAAAATGCATATTGTAAAATCGATTTTTTTTTCCTCCACTTAACATTTTTATATTTTTTTAAATATTATTTAAAAAGTTAGTTTCGACACGAGAAAATTAAATTGTTGGATAATACTTTTTATATCTTTTTTTTTTTTTTTTTAAAGTTTCACTTATAAACGGGCACTAAATATATGTCATACAATTAATGATAGGAGAACATTTCATATGAATTTTATTTTATTTCAGACAAATACTCAGGTTAATTCAATGGATAATATTTGAATTGTTAATATAATAATCTACTAATGGAAGTAATTTGTCATTTTATACATTTAAATAACTTTTCTTTGATCATTCTGACTATAACATTTATTGAGTGAAAATATGCAGATATATGAGCTGCTATAGTAAAGTAGAAATATATTTCAGCGAAGCTTTGCATACGAAATTGAATAAAGCTCACG